TTCATCAAGGTCTCCGACGGGTAGACGAATAACAAATCTGTCCTTCAGATTCTCAGTCCATAATCAGAAAAAATAATCGCAGTCCACGATGAGATCGCATTACGCAGCATTTACAGTTCACGTTCGTTCTATAACTCACAACGTTCAATGGCTTAGTTTTCGCGCTAGGCGCTAATGCGCCGGATGCGTACCTTTTGCCCATCATTTGCTTTGAAGCTACGCGGAAAAAGTTCGGCTTCTGCTGGGGGCAAGTCTGTGCTCACATTGTTCGAGCAATCATGCATTGAGAATACATGGACTCGGTTCAGTCAGTACAAGGCCCATCCCTTGTATTGGAAATATCTTGGACAACAAACATGTTAGGGGTCCAGTTTCCGGGTTGAATAATTCGATTGTTCGAACCAAATAGATGGCCCGTTCTAATAAAAATTTAAAAAAATTAAAAAACGACCAAAATTATTAGACGGTTCGAATGGTTTGACCATTTAGGTCAGCGGTTTGCTAACTAAATCAACAATTTTTTAGCGAAATAGTGGTTCTAGGGTAAAACGGAACCGGTCACCTGACGGGTTTCCGTTTTTCCAGTTTGACCGCTCGGCTTAGTCCGGTTTTGAAAACCATGATGGAGATATTCTCAATGCAAGGTTGTAAATGCTGTTTGAATGGGCATTGCACTAATTGAAGTTGATCTCCATGAAATAAATCACATAAGTACGGAGATATTTCTAATGTTAGGCTGTAAAGGTTGTTGGAACGGGCTTTGCCATGACTGAAGCCAAATTCACGCGGACAAGGATGTGACAATGATCCCATTTTGTTGGGACTGGATTCTATAGGCACAATATAGGAAACACATTTAGTGAGCATTTTATAAATATTCTGACAACTGTTAAATGTTGTCTTTAATCTTTTTAAAAGGTAAGTTGGGACATGTGTCAACAAATTTTGAAAGTACTCATTTAACGTGCTTACAATGAAGTGCCTACCTGATCCGGACTTCATTTTGTTTAGCRGGATGGCTGCAAGTCAGAATATTCTCAATCCAAATAACAACCATGAAAAAATTGGTGGTTTGTGGTGCTTTCTTGGATTGGACTCAACAAGTGCCCTATATCATCATGCGATTATCCTTTAGGCTGCATTTGGAAACGATGCAAATAAGTGCGAATGCAAATATGTAGAGTATAAAACGGTTCATATAAATTATAAGGTTGGGTTAGTTTTGCACCGACAAATTTACCTTCTTACCAAATAGACTTTTAGCTGTAATGGATGCAAATATGAATTTCAATCAAGCATATGCTTCTTTTTTTTTTTTAATCAAAAGCCCACTTGAATGCAAATTTACTTCTTTTTTGTTGATGTACATTTACATCTTATTATCAATATAAATATGCATTGGTCTATCATTTGTCAATGCATAAATGTAATATTGCCAAACACAGACAAAAGTGAACCAGAGTGCAAATTAATTTACCCTGAACTAGTATTTACACTCCATTTGCATCATTTCCAAATGCAGTCGTAGTTATTTCAGGAAAAAAAATAGAAACAAAACGGTTTTCAATGATAAAATGATGCCCCTCCCCTAATTAAGAAAAAAAAAATCCATTTGGAGACAAGTCCGGTGGATCCTCTAAGAGGGAGGGAATCAAGATAAACTTCAATGCTTCTCGTGTCAAGGATGGGTCTTATGCTATAGTGTGCGTAGCCGTGATTCTATGTTGATAATTTATTGTCTGAACAGGAAGACTGATATCCCGTGGAGACTAAACATCATCATCGAAGAATGTAGCAAGTTGAACGGGGCAATRGAGTGCCGCATCACTTACCGCCATGTCTTTTGAGAAGCTAAGGTGGCGTTTGATAAATCTGAAAATTCAGATATGGGAAGACAAGGGGAGAGAAAGAGAGAGAGAGAGACCAAATGAGTCATGCGCAAGAAGATAGGGGTAACGCATGTTATTTCCAAAATATTCTAAGGGTATTTTGGACTATGCACCAGCTCTGAAACACGTCTAAGCGCGTTAAGAGCCAGCCCAATCTCTATTATTTTCATATATGAAAATAAGATTCAGACCAAGTTTAAGAGGTAAAACCAAACAAGGGGTGAGATATAAAAAGTAGCATTTTCAGATTCAAACATATGAAAAAGTGCAATTAAACGACCCCTAAGTAAGTTGCTGACTGGGCGGTTCGTCAAGCTCTCCTCTCATGTGACACTCCTCTCCATTTTTTGTACTTTTGAGTCTTCTGACTTTATGATTTAATTTTTATTTGTAAAGTAGATGTTGGGGGCCGAGCTACCCCCGAGCTACCCCCGTTATATTTTAGTATGATAATATTTATAAAATTATTATATATGATATTTATATACATATATGTATATATGTATATATATATGCCACATCATCACAATTTACTCCTAGCTGAACTTTTAAACATGGAACCTCTCACTTTTTTTATTTTATGCACTTTTCAGTTCTTTGAACATTGATAAAAACCAATCAACCGATATCATACAAGTAATAATCATATTAAAAGAGTTTTGATTGGTCAAAACTCATCCATATCATACCTTTTGCCATCATAGGTATTGCATAGTTTATTTATCATCACTATGATATGCGCTTTCACAGCAATATATGTTAGTTGAAATGTTTGTAATGTTAAGTTTGTATCCAAGGGTGTTCATTATATGACATAGACCACCAAATCACATTGAACCAAACCAAAATTTGCAGTTCAGTATGGTTTTACATTACAATGTTTTCGTTTGGTCTAAAAATCTTTTATACTGTTTTTTTTTTTTTGGTTTTTCTGATTTTTACAAATTCAGAAACCAGACCAACTTATAAATTGAATTATTAATAGTGTTTATTAATGTACATAATATATAATACATATGTTTAAACATCAACAATTCGTGCATTATTGTTGTTTGTTTAAAATTTAACATCCAATTTGATGCCCAAGGAGCTGTTTGAGCTTGAGAAAGTGTGAATGTAATTTATATAAGGGTAAATTTCTTAAACTACCCTTATGGTTTAGCTAATTGACTAAGTCCACTCTTACTGTTTGATTATTGTCTAATGTTACCCTTATTATTTTTGACAATTGACTAACTCCACCATTCCCATTAATGTTCTTTTAAAACTCGTATAGACGTTATGTATAATTTTTTTAAAACCCAATATTACCCTTATCGTATTCTTCCTTTTAGCAGCTCAACTTCTTCCTTTCACAAAGGCAAACTGAGCTAGTTCTGTCCTTACCAATGATGGCGATAGCCCCCTCCACCTCCGGCCCCCTCATTTCATTCGAAAGTTTTTGGAATCTTAGATCGCTTCTCCCACTTTTCTCTCCAAACCCACCAAATCTTTGTTACTTCCCTACCTCTCCTACCGATGGCGAAGAAGGGCATCATCGGTGGTTGTTAAACTCCGGCGGCTGGCAATAGATATCGTGTATGATTCTTTCTTTTTCTTTTTTTTTTCTTTCCCAAATCACTCTATCCATAGCCAAAAACCCATGTTCACATTGTTCGCTTTCCAACCGGCGACCAATCGTTGGCATCACCGGCAACTGCTTCTAAAACCATCGTCTGTCTTTTATTGTTTTGGGTTTGAGTTCCATGGCTATCTTTGAACAAGTTCAAAGAAGAAAGACACTAGATAGGAGCTCAAAATCGAGGCCCCCTTCATCAGGCGGCGGCGGTGGCGCTCCCTCCTCAGGCAACTTCTTTGCTTCCGTTGGGGGCGAAGCACCCTCGTCAGGTGACAATKCTCCTCTTTCTACTCCTCAACAGTAGGGCTTTGGCGGGGATTGTCTTGCCGATGGAAACAACTAAGGGGATGGTAGAGCCTCCACCGACCGTTACTATTGCAAAATCTCTCTCTAGTTATTGTGTCACTTGTGTTTCTCATACTTTGCGTATGTTCAACAATTGTCGCTCGTATTTCTCCTCAACAATAGGGCTTCTAGTGGAGGTTATCTTATTGATGGAAACAAGTGAGGAGAGAGCAGGCATGGAATTTCTTTTGCTGCTCATACTAAACAACAAGTACTACCGAGGGTCATCAGCCACTTCGTTAGATCGAAACCAGATCTCAGTTTGGGATGGAATGCTTGAAACGTTCATCGACGATGTTTGCTTCAATTTATATGTCGATCCAGTCTGCGATCCATAGGACAATTCGTTAGCTCCACAACGGTATCTTCTCCAAGGCGGTGACAATCACCAACCGAAGAGAGAGAGAGAGAGAGAGAGAGAGAGGCTAGAGGTGGAGGGGGCTATCGTCGTCTCTAGTTAATGTCCAAGCCAGCTCGATTTACCAACAATAAAGGTAAAATTGGGTTTTAAAAAATTATACATGATTTTTGACAAAAATATTAACGATAAGGGTAGAACTAGGGTAGCGTTGAACAAATATTCAAACAATAAGGATATACTTAGTTAATTAACTAAACCATAAGGGTAATTTAAGAAATTTACCCTTTATATAATAATAATAGTAGGGGCACTCCTTAACATTTCAAATTGATATTCAAATTATATTTGTTATTTATGCAGATATACATGCTATTTGGGCATGGGTAAAATCCAATAAAATGGTTAAAACCATATTATTTGTAATGGAAATATTTGATCTGATTTGATTTTTATATTAGAATAGTGTAATTTGTTCTAAAACCATATTAATTGTAATGGACATATTTGGTCTAATTTGATTTTTATACTAAAATAGTGTAATTTGTTCTAAAAATGTCTCAAACTGTTATACACTCGTACTGATTTGGTGGGATTTTCTCTAAACCAAACCAAACCGCAGCGGAAAAACCCCTATTGTGTATCCAACCATATCATCTTTGTAATAAACTCTAAAGCATGCGCACGACGCATGGGGCACATTTTAGCACGTCGGTCCATTACGCTTTTGTTCTTCCCGTTAATTATTTACATTTTCCCCACCTGTTATATCCTTGATGTAGCTCGTCAATTGTTGGAATTCCATATAACACCGCACTTAAATATAATTTAATCTCCTTACAAAGGAGAGAAGAAAAAGAAGTTCTCGCAGTCTCTCGCTTATATTTTCTTCAGATCCGTCTCTCTCTCTCTCTCTCTCTCTCTCTCTCTCTCTGGCTTGGAGAGCTGGAAAGGTTTTCTCGCTCCGGATCTCACAGGGATCAGTCTCCCAGCGGTTTGCAGTTCCTTCGGTGTAGAAACCCTGGTTTTGAACCCTCGGTCGAGGGTTTCAATCCTTTTTCGCAAATCAGATTTTGGGTTTTGAAGCGTCGATCTGGGCACCATGGCTGCGGCAAGTGCTCCGATCACCATGAAAGAGGCCTTGACGGTTAGTTCTGTTTCATTTCTTCATCTCTCAAGAGTTTCCTGTCTAGATTAAGTGGTTGTTCTAGAATTTACGCTGAATCCGTTATAAGGGTAGACTTTTGGATTGATTTGATGTGGTTTTGGTCGTTCTGAACGTTCCCATGTTTATTTCCGATTTTGGTCTTCTTCTGTTTGTTACTGCTGGCATTGATGAATTTAGGTCATATTTGTCCCTCTCAATTGAAAAGGTTTGTAATCAATTTCCTAGAGAGCTTGTTGGCTGTAGTTTCACTTGAAATAGACTTATAGGAATACGTATGGTGGATTTGCTATTCATAGCTCAGGTAGATCCCGGATCTGTTCAGATCTATCGGACAGATAATTATGTCGTCCTCGAGTGCTTGATCTTTCTGGTCACATTTGAAAATTTCGCCTCTCCCATTACTCTGGATACCAGAAGTTCGGTGGCGCACGATCTTCTTCTATTTTTTTTTTTTTTTGGATTGAAGTTCTGATCCGGGAGGGTGAAGTGTATTGTTCTAATACCTCTTGCTTATTCTGCTTCTCTTACAGTTGCCAAGTATAGGAATCAATCCGCAATTCATCACCTTCACACATGTCACAATGGAATCAGACAAGTACATATGTGTTCGGGAGACATCCCCTCAGAATAGTGTTGTTATCGTAGACATGAACATGCCTAATCAGCCGTTGAGAAGGCCCATTACTGCGGATTCTGCTTTGATGAACCCAAATACAAGAATTCTTGCTCTCAAAGGTAAGATATATTTACTTCATTGAGTTCCTGTTGATACGAATTGTCAACTTCTGGTTTTGCATTCTTGCATTTGACGGAAGATGAAATAACTAAGAATGCTATTAAGCGATGAACAAATAGGTTCTCTGTTTATGATGTCAGTTTCTTTCTTCATAATTTTGAGATGCTTTGATGTGAAGTTTGGGAGTTATTGGCCATTTGTTATTTGCCAGTGTTCTGTTGTCTCCAATTATTGGATAAACTAGAAGATGAATCAATTGGTTTCCTTTTACTCTTGAAGTTGTACTATGCAACGTCAGTGAATTACTAGCACAGTATTAAATTAATAGTCACGGTCCTTTTAATATCTGTCAAACCACTCACAAAATATTGATCAGCATTCTAATTACACATTTTATGTTATTAAAGTTAACAATGTGATATTTCCTATCAATGCATATTCTTATACTACTTTCCTCGAGATATGTTCTTATAGGATAAACTAGGTTGCGGTCTTGCAGATGGTAATAAGCATGCAAGGATGTATGTTAAATTTTGATTAAGGTGTATAATTTCTCCCTGTTTAATTTTAAATGGAAGGTGTATAATGTTTCTCTATTTTACACGGTATTGTTGTATTTTCTGGCTTACATGATTTATTCAGATGATCACCTTACTTGCTAGTCCTGGCTGGAGTTTTAACTTGTGGTTCCAAATCACTGATTCCAGCTTGTTCAAACCTAAATCTTGAAAAAAACCTCCTTGTTTCTTGTTCTTGTCCAAATTCTGGATCAAAAAATAAAGAAGAGGAAACACTAGTTGTATATTCTTCTCTTATCCTATCCATTCTAGCCTTTTCCTACTTCATTTTCATTCCTACGTAAATCTCCTACTACATTCGAATTTTATAATATTTATCTTTCTGAATATTCTAGGTGAAGAAAAAATACAGAAGATGAAGCACTAATTGTATATTCTTCCCTTATCCTATCTATTGTATCTTTTTCCTACTCCATTTTTGTTTCCATGTAATCCCATATCCAAATTCTGTAATACTTATATTTCTGAATATTGTAACTGAACTTCGGAATTTTGAAAATTACTATAAAATTCAAAACTTTCTTTTGGCATCATAGCTTTTTTTATATGAATGAAAATTCAATTTTGGCATCATAACTTTCTCAGTGACTTGTGTTTCTGATGTCAATAATAGTGCATTTTCCAGCATTTCCTTTCTCACTTCGCCCATCCTTATAGTGTCTGGATTCTGGAATTCAAATATATTTTTCATCTACTTTAAGACCTTCCCTTTTCAAGACGATGTCAGTTGATGTATTTTGGACTTGATATGTCTGTGGTGCACTTATTGGAATTGTTGACTGTTGGCACTCCTTGATATGTGACCTTCACTCCCAAATTAGATCAGTAACTTGATCTGTATGAACTGTTACAACATTTTCCTTTTTTCCGCTTATAAAAAAATCCCATTTTTTTCTGAATTTATCATGTAGGTCTTGGTCACTTCCTACATTTGTTCTGCTTGTGGATACTTGTTTTGTGTATAAAAGGACAAAAGGCTGGACATGAATAACCATTAATCTGATGTCATAGAATGCTTTAAATGTCCATGTTCAATTTCTCTTTTTGATTCATGAACTTTTGATGCTTATGTCACATTCTCAGTGTGGATATTCATGAACAAAGTGTCAAGTTGCTGTCAAGACTAGTGCAAATTTAGTTAAGATGGTTAGAAGGTCTGCCAATGGATTGGCGGATGGGTTAACTAAACAAGGAGTTAATATACATTATTTGTTTTGGGCTCAATGTTAATTGGGTGGTGGGGCTCTTTGTTGTAAAGGGTGTTATTTCTAACGACTTCTTGTTGTACTCTCTTCTTTTTAAATTTTAATAAAATTCTTTGAGTTGCTGATAAAAAAAATCATGAACAAAGTGTCCTAAAAAATTCTAGGAAAAAGGCGAAAAAAGAAAAAGAATATAATCTGCATTCTTAATGGCAACATACTCCTTACTGATTCCATTAATTTGTGTACACATTATGGGTGCTTCTTACTGTTTTATCTTCTATCTGGCTGATGAGTTGACATTCTATTTGAAGCTCAACTTCCTGGAACTACTCAGGATCACTTACAGATATTCAATATTGAAATGAAAGCAAAAATGAAATCACATCAGATGCCTGAGCAGGTGAACACTGGACCTCTTCACTCTGTACTGATACAGGAGCTGTTTCTGAAGTTTTATCTTGTTTTGAGGTGAATGATCTCATTCAGGTCTTCAACACTTCCAACCTTTTTGTTTGTTTAGGTTGTCTTTTGGAAGTGGATTACCCCCAAAGTGTTGGGCCTTGTCACACAGACCTCAGTATATCATTGGTCTATTGAAGGTGAGCCACCTTTTTTCTTCTTCATTGCAGTTCTATCTGCATCTACTGTATTTCTTTCTTTTCTCCAATTATCATGTTTGATGAAATATTTTAGTTTTCATGTAATGCTGTCCATGGTTGGGTTGTTTGCTTTATTGTGCCTAACTATATTACTTGTATAGGTGATTCGGAGCCTGTAAAGATGTTTGAGAGGACTGCTAATTTGGCAAATAACCAAATAATTAATTACCGGTGTGATCCCTCAGAGAAGTGGTTGGTTTTGATTGGGATTGCTCCTGGATCACCTGAGGTATCTGTTTTTTTTATATGCCCTGTGTCATCATGTTTTGCTGTATTACCAAGGCCTCTATGAATCTGCTATTTGCAGGCTGAATTGTGTTAAAAAAGATAGCTCTAATTGCATCTCTAATCCTATATTGTTCCTTTTTGGTTTCAAGACCTGGATCTTTCAAGAGAATAGTCACTATCATGCCACAATTTTATAATAAATTATGCATATGCATACTTATGCTCAAGTTGGTGAACAGGAATGTAAGAGATGCATATGTTGAACAAGTTGGAAAATAGGGAATTTGGAATAACAGTTTTATGCCATATTATCATTACCTTGAGGGTGTTACACCTGAGCTTTTGTGACTGTGAACAAAGTATTTTTCAGCCAAAAATTCCGATATCTTTGCTGTTAAGGTAATATATAAAGGATCAAGACTACATTTGATGCTGGAACCTGTGGCATGTGTTGAAAATTATGCTGGTCAAAGGTCCAGCTGTCAATGATGGTAGCACCTATTTAATATATGGAACTCCCCTTTAATATTTCCTGCTTGAGTTGAATTTTGGCCTGAGAGGTCTCCTTTGTGAAAACCATAGCTAGTAATCCTGATTCCATAATTGTGGTATACCATGCCAGTTATAAAGCTTGAAGTGTCATTGTACTGATGTGTAGTTGCGTGAGTAGAATTTTAATTGAAATTGTTAGTTATCTTATGTGTACCACAAACTGATCTTAGTGGCATTTGATAATGGCCGAAGTGGTCAATTTGAATGATTTATTACTTTGACTTGTAGTGGGTAGTATAATTAAATGATAAATGGTATAATAATCAACTCAACTCAACTTCAGCCATTAAGGGGCTCTCAACCTTCTAAATGACTTAATCACTAAAAGACAAAACAACAAGTCATTCAGTTCAGCCACTTCAGATGTTAACAAACATCCACTTACTTTGAGTATAAAATATGTTTAATTACAACTGTTGAGTTTGCTCTTTATTTTCCCTAATTATACCCCTTTTTATGATCTATTACTGGTAATTGCATAGTTTCACAAGATGCTAGTACTATTTTTTTCCTTTTTTATTTTTTGCCTAACTATGCTCCTTTTTTGCTATTTGAGTACTTCTAGAAATCTAATTCTACTTCTTCTTGCTAATCTTGATTGCAGAGGCCCCAGCTGGTCAAAGGAAACATGCAGCTTTTCTCTGTAGATCAGCAACGCAGTCAAGCTCTTGAAGCACATGCTGCATCATTTGCATCATTTAAGGTGCAAGCCTTTCCCTATATTCCATCAAAGAGCTGTGATTGTTTAAATATATACACTCAGTAGTATTGAGGCGTCATACTTGTTTTTGTTACAGGTTCCTGGAAATGAAAACCCTTCTACTCTTATTTGTTTTGCTTCAAAGACTACAAATGCTGGTCAGATTACATCAAAGATGCATGTGATTGAACTTGGTGCTCAGCCAGGTCCTTTTTTCTTCCTTGGCATTTGTCTCCCTTTTTATAACACTTGAGACTGAACTAATTAAACCAATGCTTAGCATTTACTTTTATTCATGCGTTTTTGATCTGGATCTTCTCTCAGTGCTTCCTGAAGTAACAAAATACATTTGATTAACTTTCCATATTATAAAAATGTTTGTAAAAAACATATATATTGGTTCTCTATTTCCTTTTTGCTCTGCATATACTCAAGTTCATGTATGGACTTGGGAAATAATGTGTTTTCCGCATCATCTGTGATATCATACTTTCCTGTTCAAAATATCTTAACCTGTTTTTCTTTATAGCTTTTGTTCYTTGCACTGCTGATGTGCAATTCTTGTTAGCAGGCAAGCCATCTTTTTCAAAGAAACAGGCAGACCTTTTCTTCCCCCCAGATTTTGCTGATGACTTCCCCGTGGCAATGCAGGTACATCTTTAGCCAATTAATTATTGTGTTGGTTCTTGGTGAAATGTGGCACTGGCATTTTAATCGTTGACTTCTTATTTTACAGATATCTCACAAGTATAGTTTGATATATGTGATTACAAAGCTTGGACTTTTATTTGTATATGACTTGGAAACAGCAACTGCTGTTTATAGAAACCGCATTAGTCCAGATCCTATATTTTTGACAACTGAAGCGTCATCAGTAGGAGGATTCTATGCTATAAATCGGCGAGGGCAGGTTTTACTGGCTACTGTAAATGAAGCAACGATTATTCCTTTTGTCAGTGGTCAAGTATGTTTATGAGCTTCCAAATTGTGCTACTAAAGAAATCATGTAATTCCCTTTTTTCTTTGGCTGAAGCAATCATCAAATGCTGTCTTGTGACTTACAGTTGAACAATCTGGAGCTTGCTGTTAATCTTGCCAAAAGAGGAAATCTTCCCGGGGCAGAGAATTTGGTAAGTGGCAACACATTCTCTTTTTGTATCCACATAACCAAGATTCACGACTGTGACTGATTTCTGAAAAGTCCAAGCAGGCAGGCAACGAGTCTTCAATATGATGCCTGATGTTGTTGTGTGCCAGATCCAATTTCTTATATGATCAAGAATTCGGTTGGATCCACCAATGGGATGTAGCATGGTATAATTTAGGACTTGATGGTTAGAGTTGGCCAGTCATGTCGTCACCTTTACATGGAAGGAGGGGTGAGGGTGGGGAATGAGAGGGATAATCATAGTATGATTCTCAGTAAAAAATTTTTAGGCCTTTCTCCATTGATTTACCATTTTTCTGTAATATGCTTCCAAAAAATTAACATGATGCCATTTGGTACTTCTGTTTTATCTGTAATTTTGAAGTGCTTTTTGTCTTACTATTAAATGGTTTATATACTAGGGTCTTTGGTTCCATGTCAAAAGCTTGTTATTGACCATCTTTTCTTTCTCAGGTTGTCCAGCGATTCCAAGAATTGTTTGCTCAGACAAAATATAAGGAGGCTGCAGAGCTTGCTGCTGAGTCACCACAGGGAATTCTTCGTACTCCTGACACTGTTGCAAAATTTCAGGTATTACATTTACATGATACTCCTCTCTTTGTTTGTGAAACTTCTTTAAGTTTATTGTTTGGCATGTCTGCTTTTTCAATTATATTTGTATACACACTCGTAGAAAGAGGCATATAGATAAGGAGAGAGAAGGCAGAGGAGTTCTATTGTAGAAAAAAGATGCAAAAGAGAAGCATGCCTGAAACATGAGGCAAACTGAGAAAATAGAGCAAGGTATCAAGAACACTCCAAGGGACAACATTACATCAAATAAACAAGCCAACCATTTCCAACCTATCTATTAAAAAACCATTTCTAACCTAGTGATAGTACTCACTGCAATAGTGCCTACTAAGTTCACTACTTGACTTTGTATTCATATGCTCAATCTAGACCACAATGATGGAACCTTTCTGATATCGTGCAATGTGTACCATAGGCATTCAAGGGACTATGCAATCATTATCTTGAAGAGGATTCCCCTGTATGATAAATCTCTCATAACTGAAAAGGGAAAAATGCATTAGGCTAAAAAATGTGCAAGGACCATGGATTTGGTGAAGTTGTTCTTCCAGGTAGGGTTCATAAGCACTTAACATGTTACATTGTTACTTTCACAGTCTCTAAAAGCACCTCCAATTCCCATCAGACCTCCAGAATCTAAAGTGATCAAATGTAAAGGCTCGATTCGATGGTGATCCTTTTTTTGTCGGGGGTGGGGAGGGGCACAGATAAATGTAATATGGTATAATAGATCTCAAATCTGTTTCTCACTGTCAAACTATTATGCTTCTTAATATCTCCATCATAGAAATTTTAGTGAAGAACTTGGTCATACCAAAATGATGTCCTATTATAAAGAGTGGTTCTGTACTGAAAGATGCCTCCACATGGTCTTCCTTCTTTTGCTTGACAAGGTGCTGTGCCAACACCCAGGAAGCTTGTCTGTATCCTTTGGAATAGACAACTGAATATAAACAATAGAAGCAAAGAAATAAACAAGTTATTTACCGAGTCCACGTAGGCCATGCATGTGGTTCAGATATTGAGATGGGTTTGCTGATTCTCATTATATTTTCTTCAGCTCTGTTTGTTTAAAGTGCAAATCTGAACCAGATAGAAAATTTGCACCCAGTTCAGATATCAGATATGTATATGTTTGTAACTGTTATTTGCTCTCTTACCTGATGCAAAATTTGTACTGTTGTCTTACTGCACTCATAGATGGTGCAAATTGTGTCCCAAAAACTTATGTGAAATTTGCACCACCTTCTCTCTACCTTAGCATCCTCTCATATAAAGTGTAGAGGACATCATTTTACTCCCTATTTTACTCCTCTGGATCCTGAACAAACAATTTTCCACTTTCATTCTCTTTTATACAAATTGGGGACCACTTCACTTTACTTTCGTTGTACTCATGAAACCAACAAAACAAATTCAAACCTGAAGCAAAAGTGAACTTGAATTTTGCACAGCCATTTGCACTTCCATGCATTTAGATGCAGTGTAAGATAAAGAAGCCTTCACTCTGATGAGATTGTCTTCTTTGTCCTACCTTTCTTGTCCAAAAAAAAAGTGCCACTTTGAATATCTGTTTTTTATATGTCTATTCCGATACCTGTACAAGGGTGCTATATCATGTTGGATATTTCAACTTTTATTGTAAATTGCATATGCAATACCATAACAAGCCCTGTTATTGTTGTAACTGGGTAACATAGGTCTATCTATTTTTCATTTGGCGTCCAGGATACAATAGTAATAAAAAATCTATTAGAAAATATAATGCTTTTATTGTTAAAAAACAAGAAACTACTATTTATGTTCATCCTTTGTTTTGGTTATATTGACCTCATTGCTAGCAATTGTTTCTATTCTACAACAAAAATGTTTCTGTTTCAGACTAGGTTCAACCTTAAGCATGTGCCTTCTTTTATGTTTTGTTAATCCTTATCCAACTATATGTTTTTTTTTGGGTAGGATATCATTCCTCAATAAAATGAAACATTGCTGTTTTTCTTCGTCTTTTTTGGGGTTATACATTCCTTGCTGCTAGTAATTTCTTCTGCTTCCGACTGGATTCAATCTTCTAGATATGCTTCATTTGTACCAGGACTTCTCATTTGCTTTATTGGATATTGTGTATATATTTTGACGAAAGAGATTGCTTTTATTCTCTGTATTCTTGAGTGTCTTAGAATTGTGAATAAGGTTTTAACTCTATTTCAACTTGTGGTACTTGCGTTTTGTAGAGTGTTCCTGTTCAAGCTGGGCAAACACCACCTTTGTTGCAGTATTTTGGAACACTGTTAACCAAGGGAAAGCTTAATGCATTTGAGTCACTGGAATTATCACGCCTTGTTGTGAATCAGAACAAAAAGAACCTTCTGGAGAATTGGTTGGCTGAAGACAAGCTTGAATGCAGTGAAGAGCTTGGAGATCTTGTGAAGGTTTGATTTGGGATTTGAGATTGTACTTTGGTACACTACTTATGCAAGAAATTTATGAGACTGCATTCAGCATTTATGTTTGAAATGGGATCTTATTTCTATTAGTCCAGTTTATGGGTCTTTCCTTTTAATATGAGTTGATGATTCCTGTCACCTATCTCATATCATGTTTGTATGTTTCTATTGTAGACTGTTGATAATGATCTTGCTCTGAAAATATACATTAAGGCTAGGGCTACTCCAAAGGTTGTTGCAGCTTTTGCTGAACGAAGAGAATTTGACAAGATTCTCATATACTCAAAGCAGGTAATTGTTGTATGCTTTGTATGCTGGTAACTATCCTACATCTCTTGTGAACATGTTTTTTGTATTTGTAGTTAAAGAAGCTACACTTAACAAACAGTTGTTTTTTCTTTGTTGTCATATTTTTTATTATTTTATCATTATTTTGATTTCTTTTTTATATTATTGAATTGTGATTCTAAGTCTCTGACCCAGACTTGATTGCTGCACTAATACAGGTTGGGTACACACCTGACTATCTATTCCTTCTGCAAACAATTTTGCGATCTGATCCACAGGTATTACTTTTGTTCATTTCTCTTCTTGCAGGACTGTTAAAGAGTTTCGATTTATGTTATGGATATACTGGTGTAGAGCTCAAGGGTTTAAATTTTAATCATTCTTTTTCAGTAAAAGGAATGCTGTGCTTATCAATCCAAAAATAGGAATTTCTTTTTCCCACATTGAAAAGAACTTCCAAGGATCTTTTTCCTTCTTTTGGTTCCCCTTGTACAGAAGCCCCTTTTCCATTTGTACAAACACAATGCATAGAAGAGTTTAACCTTTGGAAATGGTGTATTTTGAGCCACATGCAGAATGTGTTAATTAATACTAATATTAATGCCTCTTGAAACCTATTTCTCAGAGAATAGCTAAAATTTAGCTCTGGATGGCAGGGAGCTGTTAATTTTGCACTTATGATGTCGCAAATGGAGGGCGGTTGTCCAGTTGACTACAACACTATTACTGATCTCTTTCTTCAGGTTTATCTTTTGTATTTTCCTTCTTTGGTTTTTTTTTTTTATAGTTTCACTGTAAAATGCAGCTATATTCATTTAACCATCCAAAGTGTATTCAAGCTGCAAGTTTGCTCTGTTCATCTCAATTTTTGTTGTTTCTCCATTCGTTTTTTCTTATAATTGTCTTACACGATATTCTTTACTCCAGAGGAATATGATCCGGGAGGCAACGGCTTTTCTGCTAGATGTTCTGAAACCAAATCTGCCAGAACATGCATACCTTCAGACAAAGGTTATCCATTTACCCATTGAAGCTCATAGTTTATATTCATCCTTTTTTTTGTACTCATGTATTCGGCCCCCATAATGCTGGTTCCAGGTCTTGGAAATCAATCTAGTGACTTTCCCGAATGTAGCAGATGCTATCTTAGCCAATGGAATGTTCGGCCACTATGATCGTCCCCGAATTGCCCAACTCTGTGAGAAAGCTGGTTTATATATGCGTGCCCTTCAGGTAAAATATATTCTCATAAGGGATTTATATATTACAGAGGACTTAAACAGTTCCTTGAAATAAATCTGGTGTATTTGATGCAGCATTATACCGAATTGCCAGATATTAAACGTGTCATTGTGAATACGCATGCCATTGAACCACAGGTTTGTGTGCTATACTTCAACATTTTATATTTTCATTTAAGGGAAGAGTGTATAATTGATACTAATTATTTGTGGTATTCCAGTCACTTGTAGAGTTTTTTGGGACTCTTTCCAGAGAGTGGGCACTGGAGTGCATGAAGGATCTTTTGTTAGTTAATCTTAGAGGGAACCTGCAAATAATTGTGCAGGTAATTTTCATTTTGTTGTTGATTTTTTTTTTTTTTATCACTCCCGTTCTTGAGTTGAGGCTAACTTGTATGTTTTCTGCAGACCGCCAAGGAATATTGTGAGCAGTTGGGAATTGATTCTTGCATAAAACTCTTTGAACAGTTTAAGTCATATGAAGGGTTATACTTTTTCCTGGGATCACATTTCAGTTCTAGGTATGCACTGTGGAATAAAAATACTGTCCCTTATTAGGTTTATGCAGCAGACTTTTTTGCTTATCTTGGGTAACTTGGCCAGTGAGGATCCTGATATTCATTTCAAGTACATCGAGGCAGCTGCTAAAACTGGACAAATAAAAGAGGTTGAGCGTGTCACTAGAGAGTCAAACTTCTATGATGCTGAGAAGACGAAGAATTTTCTAATGGAAGCAAAGCTTCCAGATGCACGGCCCTTAATAAATGTCTGTGATCGTTTTGGTTTTGTTCCAGATCTTACGCACTATCTCTACTCAAACAACATGCTTCGATACATTGAAGGTTATGTTCAAAAGGTAAGAGTTTGTTCAAGGAGTTTGATTTGTAAGGATGCTTGAACTATGCTATATGCCTAGTCAAGTTTGGTTATTTTCTGAGATGCAGAGGGAAAATCAACTAAGGTCTTTTATCTCCTTTCTAGGTCAATCCTGCGAATGCTCCTCTAGTTGTAGGTCAGCTGCTTGATGATGAGTGCCCTGAAGATTTCATTAAAGGTCTTATTCTTTCTGTCCGCTCTCTACTTCCAGTAGAGCCTCTTGTTGAGGAATGTGAGAAAAGGTGTGATTGATCCCTTCTCTATCTCCATCTCTATCCTATTTTGCTCACTTGGTCTCATAATTTGTTTGTTCCTTGTAGGAATCGTCTTCGCTTGCTTACTCAGTTCCTGGAGCATCTTGTGAGTGAGGGAAGCCAGGATGTACATGTTCATAATGCTCTTGGTAAAATCATCATAGACAGCAACAATAATCCGGAGCATTTCCTCACTACTAACCCATACTATGATTCACGTGTTGTGGGTAAATATTGTGAGAAACGAGATCCTACCCTGGCGGTGGTTGCTTACCGCAGAGGACAGTGTGATGATGAACTTATCAATGTCACAAATAAGAATTCCTTGTTCAAGTTACAAGCCAGGTTTGTATACTGTTGTCTAGTTTTTATGGTTATTGCATCCAGGGGTATTTTAATGTTCAAAGTTTATTTACTTATTCTTTTCTTTCAGATATGTGGTTGAGAGGATGGACTCTGACCTCTGGGAGAAAGTTCTCAACCCTGATAATGTGTACAGAAGACAGCTTATTGACCAAGTTGTATCAACTGCCCTGCCTGAAAGCAAGAGCCCTGAGCAAGTTTCTGCAGCTGTTAAAGCTTTCATGACTGCTGATCTCCCACACGAGTTAATTGAGCTTCTTGAAAAAATTGTGCTCCAGAACTCTGCCTTCAGTGGAAATTTCAATTTGCAGAATCTGTTGATCCTGACAGCTATTAAAGCAGATGCATCAAGAGTAATGGATTACATTAATCGGTTAGACAACTTTGATGGACCAGCAGTTGGGGAGGTGGCTGTGGAAGCACAATTGTATGAAGAAGCATTTGCCATCTTCAAGAAGTTCAACTTGAATGTTCAAGCTGTGAATGTCCTTTTGGATAATATTCAAAGCATTGAACGGGCTGTGGAGTTTGCATTCCGTGTTGAAGAAGATGCTGTTTGGAGCCAGGTGGCCAAGGCCCAACTTAGGGAAGGGCTAGTGAGTGATGCAATTGAATCATTTATCCGTGCAGATGATGCAACTCAATTTTTAGATGTCATCAAGGCTGCTGAGGATGCCAATGTATATCATGACTTGGTGAGGTATCTTTTGATGGTGAGACAAAAGTCCAAGGAGCCCAAGGTGGACAGTGAACTTATTTATGCTTATGCCAAGATTGATAGGCTGGGTGAAATTGAGGAATTTATCCTTATGCCAAATGTTGCTAATCTCCAAAATGTTGGTGATCGCTTGTATGATGAAGCCCTGTATGAGGCTGCAAAGATTATTTTTGCATTTATTTCTAACTGGGCCAAGCTGGCTATCACACTAGTGAAGCTGAGGCAGTTCCAAGGTGCAGTTGATGCAGCTAGGAAGGCAAACAGCTCAAAGACATGGAAAGAAGTATGCTTTGCTTGTGTTGATGCTGAGGAGTTCCGCTTGGCACAAATATGTGGGCTCAACATCATTATTCAGGTGACATTTTTAGACATTTTCTTTGATGTCTAGTTGCTTACTTTGACGGTCTGTTTTTAGTGTATTCTTTAGTTGTGGCCCTGGGTTATGTGGATCTCTAGAATATAGAGGCCAAAGTGAACAGAGATTTGTCCATTATCCATGACTTTCCTGTTTCGACATGTGGAAAGGTTCCACAAATCATTGTTTGTCTGTCCAACCCTAGCATTTTCTTCTTTCTCAAATTTTGAATTTGATAATGATTGGCATTAATACACATTAATATCACAATATGTTGTTGGCCGTTCTAGGTGGATGACTTGGAGGAGGTCAGTGATTATTACCAGAGCAGAGGATGTTTCAATGAGTTAATCTCTCTCATGGAAAGTGGTCTAGGATTGGAGCGTGCACATATGGGCATCTTCACTGAGTTGGGAGTTCTATATGCCAGATACCGTCCTGAAAAGCTTATGGAACACATCAAATTGTTCTCAACCCGTCTCAACATTCCTAAGCTTATACGAGCTTGTGATGAACAACAGCATTGGAAAGAACTCACCTATCTGTATATACAATATGATGAGTTTGACAATGCTGCAACTACCATCATGAACCATTCTCCAGAGGCATGGGACCACATGCAATTCAAAGATGTTGCAGTCAAGGTTGCAAATGTGGAGCTCTACTATAAGGCCGTGCACTTCTACTTGCAGGAACATCCTGATCTTATTAATGATCTTCTTAATGTTCTTGCCCTTCGTGTGGACCATACACGTGTAGTAGACATAATGCGGAAGGTATGGTTTTATTTATGAATTTTATGCTATTATCAACATTTGTCTCCTCAATGAGGTTCAAAATGTATATGAAGGTTGGAATAAATTATACTGATTCAATCTTGTCCTGGTTTTGGATGTCTTCTTGCGAGTTTCAGGCAGGTCACCTGCACCTGGTGAAGCCTTACATGGTTGCAGTTCAGAGCAACAATGTTGCTGCAGTCAATGAAGCTTTGAATGAGATCTATGTTGAGGAGGAGGATTATGATAGACTGCGAGAATCAATTGATATGCATGATAACTTTGATCAGATAGGCCTTGCCCAGAAGGTCAGCATAATTTTGATCTCCTTGTTTCCCAAACTTGTACTTCCTCCCCCTGAAAAAAAGAAAAAAAAAAGCAAACTCGTTACAAAATCTATGCTTTTTCTTACATTGCAATGTGTCTGAACAGGTTGAGAAACATGAGCTTCTTGAGATGAGGCGTATTGCGGCTTATATCTATAAAAAGGCAGGTAGATGGAAGCAGTCCATTGCATTGTCAAAGAAAGACAACCTTTATAAAGATGCCATGGAAACATGTTCACAGTCTGGCGATCGCGAACTTTCAGAGGAGTTGCTTGTTTATTTCATTGAGCAGGTATTTGAGCCTCTCATCTTTTACCCGACTGTTCTTGTTTTCATCGTCTTATTCTACCTTCACATTTTTTGTTTGCATTTTGTGTTTAGATATCTATTTTGTTATGATATTTATGTTAAAAAAATATTATATTTTTTAAGAGATGCTTTTTCTATAGTCATCAAGCAAGGATATCCAACACAGCTTGTGAATCTTTTACACACGTCAGATGGCATGCTGGAAGGTCTCCACATATTTGCAACACAATCTTAAAAGTTTGCCATGCGACCGCTAATACCACTTATGACATGAATAGGAAATGCATCCTTTTTTTTTAAGGATTGCTGGAACTAAAAAAAATCAAAACCTGGTTAWAACTTAAAAGGAAAAGAATTTTCTGGGGTCTATGGYGCTGAAGTGCAATAGGGCTATGAATTCATGGGCAATCCAAATTTCAGTCAGTTCCCATCTTTAAGACATTTGGATTGACAGCTAATCCATGTGCGTTTGGTGAGGGCAGTTTTCCAGCAGAGGGATATGAATGAACTGTAACTACTTTCAGTAATATCATTTATCTGGAGACTGTTTTAGGTTTTCTACAAATCCTTTTTAGGCAACAGATCATTTATGAATCTTTTTTTTATAAAACTTTTCCATAGCCTCGATAGAGATTTAAGAATTTCGGACAAATAAACCATTGTTTCACCCATTTGCTTGAGTGCACCTGCCTTGTAAGTGCCCGATATGCCTTCCGTTGGGTTTAGTGAACTTGAAGATGATAATTTTTTGTTTATACTGTATGTTCAGGGAAAGAAAGAATGCTTTGCTTCTTGCCTATTTGTTTGTTACGAATTGATCCGGCCAGATGTTGCGCTAGAACTTGCCTGGATGAATAATATGATCGACTTTGCTTTCCCGTATCTATTGCAGGTGATCTCTTTGTTACTACCATCTGTTATCTCCCATCATTCTTGAATTTTATGTTAGAACTTCTACAAATGTATTTCTCACCTTTCTGCCTTTCTGCCTTTCTGTCACACTGTATTTGCAGTTCATCCGTGAGTACACAGGCAAAGTTGACGAACTTATCAAGGACAAACTTGAAGCTCTTAGTGAAGTGAAGACCAAGGAGAAGGAGGAGAAGGAAATGGTTGCACAGCAGGTTGGCCATGAGAACCCTTTTATCATATTTTTATTGCTTCTCTTATTTTACATGTGGGGAGCTTTTCTGAAAGGAATAGTTTACCTGTCGGCGCTTGCACAATTCCAGGTTGTGGATTATTCTGGGACACGGTGTATCTCAAGTCAGAAATACTGTGTTGTTGAGATACTGTGTATCTCAAGTCAGAAATAGTTATTTTTAGATTGTCAATTTCATTAATTTCTCCTACCTTTGGGTGGGGAAATGTTTACTGTCTGATTCATTATGAGGTCATTTTTGGCCATGCATATAAAGTGGACAGTAAAGTTTTAGTCCTGCTGCCAAGGAGGGGAAGGCAGGTGTCCGCTGGCGCTGTTTCTTTTTTGTTGGATAATTTTCTAAGCTATTGGAGATTTAATGAAGTGAAGAAGTAATGTTTAAAATGTTGTTTATGCGTTTTGGTTGCAGAATATGTATGCCCAGTTGCTGCCTCTTGCTTTGCCTGCACCACCAATGCCAGGGATGGGTGGAGGTTTTGCACCACCACCACCAATGGGTGGGATGGGTATGCCTCCAATGCCAGCTTTTGGCATGCCCCCATTGGGCACCTACTGATCGAGAGTGGCAACGAGTAAGGAATAGAGTTAGTAGTCACAACGAGCAAAGGGGAAGTTTGCGGTCTCTAGGATATATCCAATTGCACTTGGGGCGGATGGAATTCTTTTCGTTTCATGTGGGGGGAATGTGAAGGTCTCAGGTCCCGAATAAGCTCTTTTGTCGTGTTTATTTTTGTTGTAGGGTGTGGTTCAAAAAAAAAAATATTTCTCAAATATTCTTTTGGTAGCAGAGGCTTATTTTTTGCTGCCGTTGAGGCCGAGCTGAGCATTTTCTGCCTGTCGAACTGTGTTTTGTGGCGCCGGGAAAATGTTGTGCAGTCGATGTTGTGCAGTCGATGTAATCTGACATTGGCGAATGTTGTAGGCATGGTGGTGGCTTGTTTGCCACGTGTATAGGTCGATGGTCTTTGTTGTTTTAGATATTTTTGTTCGTTCTTCAATTTTAGAGATGTAATTGATTACTTCTTCCCCTTGTTTTGGGCTTTTTTCCGCTCTTGGCATGATGCCTTTTTTCTTGTTCATTTGCTTACACCAATCAAATAGGCCAGATGATACGAGAATTATTTGCGGTTTTGTGGTTTTTTGGCATGCTCACAAACCGTATTAGATGTTATGCCTAACAAATTATTCAAAGACAGAGAAACATGAAATATGCATTCTTATAAAAATGTATAGCAAGGATTTCCAAAAGGGTTATTCCTAGCGTGTACGAGCACTGCTCATTCTATAAACCATAGAAATGCTCCACCCCTCTTGTTTCATGGTTGCTGAGGTTATAAAATGGGACCTGGGGTCATAGTGGCTGCTGCATGCATGCCAATACAAAGGTGGCTGTCATATGGAATGCGCAGTGCTCCTACAGGCTAGTACTCGCCTTTTGTATAGTTGGGGAATTGTGATGGGGGGAATTTGTTGCCAATTTAAGGGGGTATTCGTATTTAGCCGGGGGTGTTGTTAGACCGTGGAGTTAAAATTTCTGAAGTGGGTTTCAATGAGGTTTTCCCTTCAAAATATTTTATTGTTTTATTAATATTTGGGTTTGGAGGGTTTGTCAAGGATACCTTATTATCATACAAATATAGCATGACATAACATTATCATTATGTACTTAAATTTAGGCTCAGCTTGGAAGGAGTACAAATGCATCTAAAATAATACAAAATACAAGGTTTTGCTCTCTATATACTCCTTTCATTTCATGCACCAAAACTAATGCAAATGTCCTCTTTATAATAGTAAAAATGAATATATTTTGACAAAATGAAAATTCATAAAAAATAAGTCATGAACTCATGAGATGTATAAACTATAGAGGGCAAGTGATATAGACATAGAAAAACCCTTGAATTCACTTTTGCTAAGATACTGTCGTAACAGAAAATAAGTCGCTTCATCTAATTCAATGTGGGGCCATAGCAGCAAATAAAAGGCTTCGATTTAGTTGTTTCAGTGCATAGCTAAGACACTGTCGTTGCAAATGTGGATCTAAAGCTTTTGAGGGGAGAAAAATAGCGCACATTGATTAAGAGAAAAATAGCAAATAAAAAATGAAAAAAAAAAAGGAGGAAGTGCCACCTAATCGACTCTTGCTTTGATAATTGATACGTAAGTTGCAGCCCGTGCAACTTAAGTATTTTTTTTTTTTTTTGGGGGGGGGGGTGGATATGAGAGAATATAAGTAAGACTAAGAGAGAGAGAGAGAGAGCACATTTTTTGAGTGAAAGAGACAAATAGGAGAAAACGAGTTTCGAGAAAGTTGGCCTGCAGTTATGAGATGCCTGATCTAACATATGGATAAAGTTTCACAAATTTTTCGAGAAAATATGAAAAATCATAAAAACATGGTACCCAATAGACCTTTTCATGGGCCGGGTCGGGCCGGGCTTTTACTGTTATTAATAATTTTTTTTAAGGCCCGAGCCCGAGCCCGGCCCTCATAAAAAGCCTGAAGCCTAAGCCTGGGCCCGGGCCCGAAATTTAGCCTATATTATTATTATTATTAATGTTGAAGCAGCTGAATAAAGAGAGAGATAGATTGAAATTATAAAGAAAAGATTAAAATATATATATATAATTATAAATATATATTTTAATAAATATTATATTATTTATATATTTTATATAATATATAACATACATATTATATATTTTATAAAATATATAATACTGAGTCGGGCTGGGCCGGGCTCGGGCCGGGCTTTTTTGACAAATCCCGAGCCCGGCCCGAAACACAGTTGGGCTTACTGTGTTAAGCCCGAGGTCAGGCCCGCGGGCCTAATTATATGACCAAGCCCGGCCGGGGTGCGGGCCGGGCCGTCGGGCTACCCGGCCCATGAACAGGTCTAGTACCCAACCTGATTTTAGTTTTTCCTGTGTTTTCTATAAAAGGATTTAAAATACAAAAAAAAAAAAACTGATTTTATGCTAGCTAATATAATCCGTCCATTGTTGGTCCAAAATCCAGTCCTTTGGATATTCTGTTCTGTGTTACAACACACTTATGACCTGATTTTGAAAAATTCATAGGGTGATTAGGGAAGTTGTGATGCAGGAAAGACATGATATGGGAAGAGTTTTGAGTTTTGACCAATTAAAACTTATCCATAATTTTGATAAATAACATCTGATTGGCTACCATGTTTATGATTTCAGTTGACTGGTCAGAAGTTTTTCAGATGTCATATCTTTCACATATCATAGTGGAACCCGGGTAACTAATAATCAGGAATGTCACCTCTGCTTTTTTTTTTATTTTTTGAACACTAAGGGTGCATTTGGTTTGTTGGAATAGGGGTTTGAAATTCTCCATTCCAATTTCAACTATTTGGTTTGATGGAATGGGAATCCCATTTTCATTTTTAGTGGAATAAACCCCTCCTTTGGGAATGAGAATCTATTCCAATTGATTTCTGAGGGATCAAATATGTAGGAGCAACAAATCATTTCAATTCTGATTCTGACTGCAAGCCAAACAGAGTTAGGATTGGCCCGATTTAGAATTTCACATTACTTCAAACTCGGACCTTTGGGTTAGGCCCATCCAAATTTATCAAAAGCTCAACCCAAGCCTGCCCAACCATAATGCAGTTACTTGTTGACCTAGTGCTTAAGATGCTTGACATTATTTTTATCATGACAATTGTATGACATTGCAGATAAGCTGTCAATTTTTTCAAATTTCAGTGCAACATCAGTTTGGTGATCCAAGATCACCAAGGTGATTAAAGAATCAATTTGGCAAATAAAAAAACCTCCCCTCTCATAAACCCTAATGTGAACCTTTGTAGTAACATTTAAAAAAATTGGTTTGTTAAATTTGATTTCTATTTGATTTATGTTTGCTATCCTGCTGTTCTGTTTTCTCAAAAAAAAAAAAAAAAAGGATTTCTATTTTTTTCTTTTGTGATGAAATAACATTTCTATTTTTATCCTTGTGTCGCAGGCTTGTGAAATGGAACACTTGTGAACACATAGGTGCCAAAATATACTAGGATAGTTTTAGAGTTAAAAAGCTATAGGTCCACCATCCATCTAATATGATTTTGACCATGGGCTTAAACTAGATTCAAGAAAAACATAACAAAAATAGATTTTATTTACATTTTTTATACGTATTTTCTCGAACCCGCATTTTATGGTAAGTAATATTTCATTTACTTTCGAGGGAAACTATGGTGCATGTCAAAATTTTTATTACACAACACCTATTTCAACCAATCGCATCAAAGAGGTCAAATGGTCTACTACCTTTTCATTCATATACATTTCAAAAGATGTATATAACAGTACATATTACTTTTATTTGTTTTCATCTTTTTTTAATTTTTATTATTATTTAATTATGACATTAATGGTGTGCATATTTAACCTAAAAGGTTGAATTGTTAACTTCCTACTAATTAGGAAAATAATTCCATTTTTGGTTGATTTTAATTTTGTATTTTATTCCTATCATTAATAAAATAATTATTCTTTGGTACATTTTTTTTAAGGTAAAATACAAAAATCGCTCCTGAAGTTCCTGACAATCATAAAAACCTCCCCTATAGTTTTATTTTAACAAATACCTCCCTTGAACTTTTGAGAAACTCAACAAAACCCTCCCTTTCGTCATTGTTCCAGACGGAAAATGTTAGATTGATGCACTAGTTTTTTCCAAATACCCATTCTATCCTTTTATAAATTATTTTATATACAAAATTACCGAAATCACCCCATTTTAACTCAACAAAAACCTCTTTTAACGATCATTTCAGTAATTTTACATACAAAATTACTGAAATATGTTTTTTTGTTGAGTTAAAATGGAATTATTTCAGTAATTTTGTATGTAAAATAATTTATAAAAGGGTAGAATGGATATTTGGAAAAAATGATGCATCAATCTAACGCTTTCCATCTAAAACAGTAATGGAGGTTTTTGTTGAATTTCTCAAAACTCCAAGGCATTTGTTAAAATTAAACTATAAGGGAGATTTTTATGATTGTCAGAAACTTCAGGGGAGGTTTTTGTTTTTTACCCTTTTTTTAATATGGTCAATTAATGTAGGAGTTAATGGAAAATTGGAGTTAATACCTTAAATATAATATTTAGGGCATGCTTGTTTCCTCTTAACTCTTATCTCTCAAGAGGAATCTTTTAACTTTAAGGGGGCGTTCTTTTTTCGGATTTTGATAGGGGGTAAGTTGCTCAATAGGATTTTGGTTTCCATTGACCAAGAATCCCATGTTCTTTTTTCAGATTTATGTAGGGACTAAGGAAGGTTTATTTTCTAGGGTATCACTTACTCCTAGGTGAGTAAATAACTTTCCCACTTAGGGGGAAAGTTGCCAACACTTGAATGGGACAAAAATGACCCTTTTAATAATAGATTTTTGTGGCTAAAATGGTCATTGCCTTATTTACATGAGAAATAAAAGAACATGAGTAAATGCACTTACCCGGATAAGTGTTTCCCAAAAAAAACTTACCAAGATAACTGCATTTACCTGGTAAGTAACTTACCGAAAAGCGAACGGGGCCTAAGAGAAAATTGGTTTTTCGTTTCCTCTTATCCCTTATCTCTTAAAGTGCAATAACCAATACCAATATACCTCTTAATGTAATTATTGCACTTTCAGATGTTAGACTTCAGAGCAAATAGACAAGCTCTTAATGAAAGGGAATTGAATGAAGAGAAATGTAGTAGTTCAAATTATATTTTAGGCCCTCTTAATTAGATAGACCAAATTCAAAAATAAGGGTATTCTAATTAAGAATATGATTCAAGGAATGCTATTGAGTGTTATCGGATACTTTAGATATAAGAATTAATGAGAATGATTTGAATGAGAAAAAAATGGTTGTTCAAATCACATTTCTATCTTTACAATGAGAGAAAGACCAAATTAAAAAGTTGGGGTATTTTGGTTAGACAAAAAATTCACACACACTCATTCACACTATTAATAGCATTATAGATGGGGTTTTAAATTTTTTATTCATAAATGTTCATTTGGTTTATTGTCTCAATTAAAGCTT